CACGGCGCTGGCACCGACATGCTCACCTCCACCAACCCCGCGACTGGCGCAAAGCTCGCAACCGTCTCTTGCGCCACTGCCGACCAGGTCAAGAACGTCATCGCCGCCGCCCACAAGGCGCAGCGACAGTTTGCCCGCGTGCCCGCCGCCACACGCGGTGCCGTGATGAAGGACATCTGCGCAGCCTACATCCACCACAAGGACGCCCTCGGCGCTCTCATCTCCTACGAGATGGGCAAGGTGCTCTCCGAGGGCAAGGGCGAGGTCCAGGAGGTCATCGACGTCGCCGACATGGCCGTCGGCCTCTCGCGCTCCATCCAGGGCAGCGTCCTCCCCTCGGAGCGTCCCGGTCACCTCATCTACGAAATCCCCAACCCGCTCGGCCTCGTCGGCGTCATCACCGCCTTCAACTTCCCCGTCGCCGTCCACGGCTGGAACTTCTGCCTCTCGTTTGTCTGCGGCAACGCCACCCTCTGGAAGCCCAGCCCCACCACCCCGCTCACCGCCATCGCAACCACCAAGCTCATTGTCGATGTCCTCAAGAAGCACAACCTCCCCACTACACTCGCCGCGCTCGTTTGCGGCGACGTCGAGACCGGCCAGACGCTCACCCGTGACGAGCGCATCCAGCTCACCAGCTTCACCGGCTCTGAACACATCGGAAAGCTCGTCGCGCAGGACGTCGCCGCTCGCCTCGGCAAGATCCTCCTCGAGCTCGGCGGCAACAACGCGGCCATTGTGCTCGACGACGCAGACCTCGAGCTCGCCGTCCCCGCCGTCGCCTTTGCTGCTGTCGGCACCGCTGGCCAGCGATGCACCACCACGCGCCGTCTCTTGCTCCAGCGCAACGTAGCAGACAAGTTCCTCGAGCGCCTCGTCAAGTTCTACACCTCGCTTCAATCCAAGGGTCTCATTGGCGACCCCACCGACTCGTCGGTGCTGTGTGGCCCGCTCCACTCGAAGCAAGCCGTCGCAAAGTACTGGGAGACGCTCGACACCATCCGCTCCTCGGGCGGCAAGATCCTCTTTGGTCCCGAGTCGCCCTCCTCGCCCGGCCTCGCCTCGCACCTCGTCGAAAGCAAGGGCAACTACGTGCTTCCCGCCATCACAATGCCTGCATCCAGCATCGACAAGGTCTTCCAGGAGGAAGTCTTTGCTCCCATCCTCAACGTCGCTGTCTTTGACACGCTCGACGAGGCCATCGAGCTCAACAACTCGGTCCGCCAGGGTCTGTCCAGCAGCCTCTTCACCACCAAGCTCACCAACATTGGCGAGTGGCAGGGCGCCCTCGGCAGCGACTGCGGCATTGTCAATGTCAATGTCAGCACCTCAGGCGCAGAGGTCGGCGCCGGCTTCGGCGGCAACAAGGCCACCGGCTGGGGTAGGGAGTGCGGCGGCGACGCGTGGAAGCAGTATTGCCGCTGGGCCACCAGCACCGTCAACTACTCGTCCCAGGTCGCCCTCGCCCAGGGCGTCAAGTTTGATGCGTAGGC